CATCCCTCACAACGATGCCAATCTTTCCAACCACTCAACAACAATCCATGCATGGATCAATCACCATGTATTATAGCAGCAAGTAAAAATACCTTTGAAAATCGTCTGTTTAAAAAGGGAAAACATGGACTGCTGCTGTATTAGGATTATCGGTGATTGTCTTACGCTAGAGGCAATCAAGAGAGAAAAGGTGCAAGCTATTTGCCATGGACTAAAACTACATCAATTTGACTGCTATTTTGAAAACAAGATGCAAGTGTTTCCACGCCAATTGGATCGGTGGATTCAAGCTCTTCAACAAGTAAAATCGATAAAGACTTTTAATGAAAAACGATCTAGAAACTGCTTGGATACGATCAATCGATGAGGATAGGATTAGCCGGAGATGGAGGTAGTACTACCGGCTGTTTGAATTCGCAAGATTAAAATCCCCCCCAACAAAAAATTCAAGGCTAACTGTAACGATGGAGAGGGGGAAAAAAAATAACAACATACTTTGTCCAATGGCCATCAGGGAAAGTAGACGATGGATAATAGAAATGACAGCCATGACAACAATCCATAGCATGCTATGGATTGTTGTACAAGAATAAAATGAAATAGATGAAAAGTAGGTTAAAGGATCTCGTGATAATGATGAAGAAAGGATAGACATGCTTGAAATTGAAAGAATGATGGAAAAAGAAAGCAAAGAGAGATCTATTCTAGATGGAGAATCTTACCTTTTCCAGTTGATCGGCAACATCTTTTCTATCGCTTTCTAATTTTCGCTTTAATTGCTCAAATTGGGCTTCCTGCAAGAGCGACATAATATGAAGAACAAGATTCAATCAATAATGGTGGAGATCGAAATAGATGGATGGATCAAAAGACTTTCTCTCTTTATACAAGAAACTGGCCATAAAAGGAAGGGGGAAAAGAGAGAGAAAATGATGGCATCAAATACATGATGGGAAAAAGCGTCCTATACACTCCATCAATGGCATGATGTTTTCTTAATCATTGTATGAAGAAGAAGAAGGTCAAGGAGAGAGTTTCTTCTTGACCTTCACCTTGTTAACAATATACTTGGAGAGGATGAACAATTAAAGAAAATGAAGGAATAAGAAAGAGAGAGAGAGAAAATGGCGAACCCCCCCCCCCAAAAAGAAAAACACATTTGCATCGACTTACATCTTGCTGAATGGCCATCATTAAATCATCGCTTGTATCCATGTTCCCGTGATCGATGGTGGCCGGCTGTTGGAATGGATTGGCAAAAAATGAATCCTTATTGCTTGTTGGATTGATCGAATCGATCCCGTAAGGCATCCTTAAACCATTTATTGACCATAACAAACACCGTAGCAATGGCTACAACTACGTTCAAAATACAAAGTAAGCGACAAGTGGTAGAAAGGAAAAGGGGCTTGGAGAGAGGAGAGAAAAATATTAGCTAAACGGTATTCTGATCGATTAGGAGGATAACGGCAACAGCTTGATATCAGGGCCAAAAATGAGTTGGACTGATTGCTATGCAAGGCAAAAATAAAAATGAATAGCCAACAGTATGCCTACAGCAATCGATGATGAGCAGTAAAATCATGACCAAGTTCAAACATATGTTGGAACGTTTACTTTTATATCTTCATCATCGCCCATTAGCATACCTGAAGAGAGGACAATAAAGCAAAAGGGGGCAGTCGATATTGCAATCCGTCTTTTCTATTTAATCAAATACATGCAATAAAATGATATTAACACGCCTTCTTGTACATTGAATGATGGATCAAGAGAGAGTTGTTAAGCTTACTATCGACACCAACAACAAAAGTAAAGAAGGAAGAAAATCAATGATGAATATTCATGATGCAATCCAATCATCAAGGTAAAGAAAGCTTGGTCTTGAATGAAATGGTGGTTTTGTTGTTTGATGCAACAATATTTTCTTCTTGGATAGCCAAATACTTTTCATTGTTATCCTAATGCCTTATTGAATATTATTCAAACTCCATCGTTTCAAGGCCGCCTTAGCAAGACGATGATGCCATAGGCAACGGCATAGGATTGGATTCCATTGCGACAGTATTCTTCTCCATCATCCTTTTCAACCATCCATGATTGTATTTCTCTTTCTTCAATCCAATTAAATCAACAATTCCATGCTATCGTGTTTTCATAATCAACCAAACATAGAAGAATGCAGTATACAAGCATAGAAAGTAATCGATTCAATTTAGCATTCCTTCTCTATTCTACCTTTAACGACCATAATAGGATAATACTCTTGATTATCCCCATCATCATCATGCATGATTGTGTTCTATTTTGGATGGCTCCTCTTTGCTTATATTGGTCTTCTTGTCTTGTCTTGCCTCTTTCCAATCGACTCTGTCATGGGCAACAACAATCTCCCAAAATGGACACGTATCCAATCCATGCCCTCTTCTTCTTCTTCTCCATTCTACTCTTCTATTCAACAATTCCATCCTGTTGGCATCATTTCCATGTCCTCAATGGACATTGAAATGCAATCCATGCCCTCTTCTTCTTCTTCTCCATTCTACTCTTCTATTCAACAATTCCATCCTGTTGGCATCATTTCCATGTCCTCAATGGACATTGAAATGCAATCCATGCCATCTTCTTCTCCATTCTACTCTCCTATTCAACAATTCCATCCTGTTGGCATCATTTCCATGTCCTCAATGGACATTGAAATGCAATCCATGCCATCTTCTTCTTCTCCATTCTACTCTCCTATTCAACAATTCCATCCTGCCTTTTCATCCTGTTGGCATCATTTCAATGTCCATTGAGGACATTGAAATGTAATCCATGCCATCTTCTTCTTCTCCATTCTACTCTCCTATTCAACAATTCCATCCTGCCTTTTCATCCTATAGGGCAGAATTTCAATCTCCTTGGTAATCCTTTCTATTCCTATTGCGAGATGGCTCATTCATGTTGGTCAATTCAAAATAGACCAAGCGATAGCATGATGGAATGTAGGACAGCAATGCAATGCTTCCTCTACTGTATCTTGACACAAGATCACTATCCTGCATCATTGATTTTTCTACTCCTTGCCAGGCTTGTGTCAAATAGCAATAAGTCAATAGTGAAGAATATTGCTTAGACGCTGCCAAGGCTGCTTGCTAGTCGATCATTTGCTACAATTCAACTCGTTGTAGGGATAACATGAAGGGGAGGAAAATTCAATTTCTACCCCATCGATCTTGACTGGATATCCTACATCAGTAGAATTCTTTCAATCCATTCCCATTCCTACCCATGGTTGGTATGATATAGCAATGAGGCAATCATTTAGCCAATTGCCCATATGCAGTCAATAGAGCTAGTTTATTGCATGGAGTCGATTTCAACTTCTTCAACAACGATAGCATCCTGGAGAGAGAAAATCAATGGATAATCGTAAACTTGCATCTTGATACATGATTATCCTTTTCTAATTTGTTTTCACTATTTTTGCTATTCCTTTCCAGTATGGTATGATGGAGGAATGCCAGTCTCTAATTTAGTAGCATTCTACCCGTCA